GGGTTAAGGGCTTGGGGCTTAGGGTTATACTTATGGGTTATTTTTGGCATCAGTATTATTGTCATTATTTATCATCAGTATTACTATTATCCCTGCTTGTGTATGACAGTGCATACGTATACTTGAAGCACTCTAAGATTGATATCGTCAAGTCCTGCGCAGGAAGTCTTCGCCAACAAGACCTTTGTGGTAAGATGGGATGATCCTGACGGCGGGCCAGAGACTAGCATGTGTCTTCCGCGCTACATGCTGCTCGGCAGTTTAGGGTTTAGGGTTTTGGGTTTAGGGGAAGTACCTTATTGCTCTTATAACTACCAGAACTCATAGTTGTAGTTACCCTCTTGATAAGTTTAGTAACAAGGACCCTGGATAGGCTAAGTAGTTTGCACTGAGCCCGCAGAGACAGCCAAGGAAGCATCACCAGATTTTCTGCGACTACCAAGTCAGGGAGCCTACCTGATCTAGGGTTTAGGGTTTAGGGTTTAACTTTATGAAGCTGAGGTCGGAGACCGAGTGGACGCCAGATCCTCCAACGGCGAAGCCTTGCTGCAAGGAGGGGACCCTAATATGGTACCCTAAATAGTAGGATCCTTATTATAAGGACCCCAAAATATGGTACCCCTTATTCCCGGAAACCCCCAATTGCCAGCGCCTTGAAGAGCTGATCGCCCAGGAGGTGCTGTCGGCGATCATCGGGGAAATCCACCCAGACGGTGCTCTGTAGGTCTGAGCTCTTCCCCTGATGACAAGCTATGGTCGTGCCAGGCTCTTTCGAAGTGCAGTGGGACGCCGATGAAGCAGATGGACGGTACGTCTGCTGGGCTGCGGAATCTTGCATCATTTAGTATGCTTCATTGCAGCTACCACGACCGTCCACTTTGGCGCTAGACACCTAGACCCCTAAACCCTTTGACCCTTAAGCCCCGCGCTGAGGACTTGAAGGGTGTCCGGCGAGACTATGGAATTGGGGACAGGCCTCTCGATCAACGACCATAAAACCTCGGTTTAGGTTTGACCTGGACCCTGAATTATGATTTGGGGTTTAGGGTTTAGGGCTTAGGGGTTTAGGGTTAAGATCTACATATGCGTATGCACATATACATACATACCTAAATACATACATGCATACATTCATGCACATATGTTTTCATGTGTGTGTATATATATGGTTATGTAAGGACATCAAAGTAAGGAATCCCAAAAGGGTCGGGAACTTCGGGCCCTGATAAGCCCAACCCTAACGAACAGAGCCCTGAAGCTCCTACAGTCCCAACAGCGGACCCGAAACCCCTAAACTCGAAACCTGGAAACCCGAAGCCCGAAACCCGAAACCCTAAACCTTAAACCCCTAAACCCTAAACCCTGAAACTCCTAAACCCCGAAACCCTCAACCCCTCAACCCCTAAACCCCTAAACCCCGAAACCATAAATCTGCTCCCCCAAAAGACAACCCTAAACTGAATAATTCAAAAAGCGCCGAAACCCCGAAGCCCTTCACCATTCTTAGATCCCTAAGCCCTAGAAAGCCTAAGCCCTAGACCCTAAATCCCTAAACCCCTACATAAGCCTCTAAGCCCCTAAATCCCTAAATCCCGAAACCCTTAAACCCCTAAGCCCTACATCTTTTCCCCTGCCCCAACCCTAAACCCTAAACCCTAAACCCTAAACTCCTAAACTCCTAAACCCTAAACCCTAAACCCTAAACCCTAAACCCTAAACCCTCCCCCTGCAGGGTGGAAGCTCTGTATCCCGGGACCTGGGAGTGGCAGAGCGGCATCGTAAGGTCGGAGGGTTTGGGGTTTAGGGTTTCGGGGTTCGGGTTTTAGGGTTTAGGGGTTAGGGGTACGGCGGTTTACAGTGGGCTTTTAGGGTTTAGGGGTTGGGGTGTAGGGTTTTAGGGGTTTTGGTTTTAGGGTTTTAGGGGTTAGGGTTCTAGAGTTTGGTGTTTAAGGTCGGAGGGTTTGGGGTTTACAGTGGGGTTTTAGGGGTTACAGTGGGGTTTTAGGGGTTTAGGGGTTACAGTAGGGTTTAGGGTTTTTGGGGGTTACGGCTTCTAGGGTGTAGGGTTTAGGGTTTTAGGGTTAAGGGTTTTAGGGTTTAGGATTTTAGGGTTTAGGGGTTTGGGGGTTAGGGTTTTAGGGGTTAGGATTTTAGGGTTTAGGGGTTTGGGTTTAGGGGTTGGGGTGTAGGGTTTTAGGGGTTGGGGTTTTAGGGGTTAGGGTTTTAGGGTTTAGGGTTTGGGTTTAGGGGTTTAGGGGTTAGGGTTTTAGGGGTTTGGGTTTTAGGGTTTAGGGTTTAGGGTTTAGGGTTTAGGGTTTAGGGTTTAGGGTTTAGGGGTTTGGGTTTTAGGGGTTTGGGTTTTAGGGTTTTGGGGTTTGGGGTTTTAGGCTTTAGGGTTTGAGGGTGTAGGAGTTTGGGGTCTAGAGGTTTAGGGTTTAGGGGTTTAGGGTTTAGGGTTCTAGCGGGGTCCCTGTAAGGGTTCCTTCCAGTGTTCCAGCAGGCAATTTAGGGTTTCGGGGGTTCCATAGGGCATAGGGGTCTTTTTCAGGGTTTAGGGGTTCCATAGGGGTCCTGTAAGGGTTCCAGAAGGGATGTAGAAGGCTTCAACAAAGGTCATAATTTTGGGGGGTTCAAAGCTCCGTCAAGAGTAGAACGGTCAAGTCGATGTACAAAACCAAGCTATGAAGATGTTGTTGACATCTACAAGCATGAACCTCTGTGTTGTTATGACTTATACCAGTATCGTTGTCACTCTCCTTCTTCTTCTCGGCACTTGACGTTCATGAAACCCCAAACCCCTCAACCCTATCCGACCTATCCCATCTCCCTCTAGTCTAGAATCCTTACAGCAACCCTTAATGGGACCCCTACGGGACCCACCCTCAGCCCTAAATCCTAAACCCTTAAAAGGACCCGTATGGAACACTAAGCCCTAAACCCTAAGCAATGAGAGGGACACAAAACCCTAAACCTGACACTTAAATCCTAAACCCTAAACCCTAAACTTTATTAAATCCTAAGCTCTAAACCCTAAATCTTATTAAATCCTAAGCTCTTAAAGGGACATCTAGGCAACCCGAAAGCAGGCGCTTCCCCTCTGGCAGGCGTAAGCTCGAGTACGGCGCCTTTGAGATCCGATGGGACCAGCCTGGCGACGGGCCGGCATCATCCATGAGCGTTCCAGCTGCCCGGCGGTGTGGGGTTTAGGGTTTAGGGTTTGGGGTTAGGGGTTTAGGGTTTAGGGTTTAGGGTTTGGGGTTTGGGGTTTGGGCTTTAGGGTTTAGGGCGCGGTTTGGGGTTTAGGGTTTAGGGGGTGGTTTCGGGTTTAGGGTTTAGGGCAGGGTTTAGGGCTCTAGGGTTTTTTGATGTTAGGGTTTAGGTTTTTTCAACTGCCAGACGACTTGAAAGAATTTGCCTCCAGCTGAGGAAGAGATGTCACTTCTTCATGAAATAGACGAGGAGGAAGCTCAGCTAGGCTCTACAGCGAAGGCATATAGGGGCGCTCAGTCGGTTTGCAGGTTCAGCCGAGCCCGGAGCAAGTCCTTTCCATTACCGCGGCCAGGATTGGTTCAGCGAGGACCTTGAGGAGGACAACGCAGGCCGTCACTATGATTCTTACTGGTATTTCTACTAGTGTTGTTATCGGTTTAAACAATTTTCGTATTCATGTTTTACGGTTATGGCCGCCTTGCCTGATAAGGGAGATCCATCAAACTAAGGACCCTAAGACCCAGTGTCGAAAACTTGGGTTCTTTATGATCTGAAGCTCTCATAAGGAATTTGGGCCTATGTCGGGATATCTCACGGGAGCATTGGGTCTGGATTCGTATGGGATTCGAAGATGTGGCTTTTCGGAAGGAAGTGCTGACTACGGTTGCATGCTTGTGTAGTATAGGGCCCTCAATAGTCAGAATGCGGCTTGGGGGTATGTTATACTATACCTGTTATTGGGAACCCCAAGACCCTATTCTAATTATTAAGGCCCCTACATTACCGGACCTTTCTCGTTCGGCTGCAGGAGAGGAGTCAGATGCTTTCCCGCCAGCCGAAATCGCGGACGAGGAGGTGCCCCGATTGCTCAAGTTTGGGTTTAGGGTTTAGGGTTCAAGTTGACCCTGAACCCTAAAACCCCAAACACCAAACCCTAAACCCTAAACCCCTGATTTTGTGCGGCGATCCGGCCTAGGCCATTTTCCAAGCAGCCGCCAGCGCAAAGTCGAGTGAGACGGGCTGTCAGAGGCCCAAAGTCAGCAGGATTTTCCAGAGGTTTCTCTGAATCCTCTACAAGGCTTCTCTAGTGTGGAGGTTTAGGGTTAAGGCATTAGGGGTTTAGGGTTGCCTGACTCATGCTATTACTCTTAGGGTTCCTTTTATACTTTTGGGGCTTCGGGTGATGATGAGCTGTTCCGCACTGCAGCGACCCCTTTCGTGATTTATTGTATGGACATCTCCCTGCCCGGCTGCAAGATCCAAAACTGGGACATGCTACTATGATCACAAGTATTTGCATACTTGTATACTATGATAGCACAAACACATAAAAAATCATTCTATACGGATCCCCCAAGAATGAATAGCTCGACGAAGTCCGCGTGTCCTTTGCGCGCAGGCTTCCTGAAGTCCAGTGCTCCGTGGCAGCAGTAATGTATAGAGGCCTAAATAGTTACCAGTATTATTCCTCCTTATCATAACTATACTAGAAAGGAGCCCAAAACCCTATATTATTCCTTACGGTTCCTTATCATAATTAAACTAAAACGGAGCCCAAAACCCTATTCTAAGCATTAAGGCCCCTACACTACCCCACAGCGCATCTAGAACCCTAAACCCAAAACCTCAAGCCCTGGACCCCAATACAGAAAACTCTAATTAGGGCTCCTTATCAAAATTATAGTATAATGGGCCCCAACTCCCTACTCTACTAATTTTTGAGGCCCTGTACATTAAACCCTGAACCAGGCTTGTGTATCCACCCCGAGACTCACACAGAGATGGTCTTCTTCTGGCGAGGGCGTCCGAGCCAGACATCTCCTTGGACAGATGCCCGCCTGAATGATTTTATCATACCTATAGTCTCCATTGTAGTTCCTTTTTTTGGTTAACCAAAGTTATATTACAGGACCCTAGCCATAAAATTGGTTAACCAAAAAAAAGGAACTACAATGGAAACTATAGGTATTACCATGTTATATCATGCCACTTTGACCATTTTAGATCATAGACTATACTATTATGCTTTCTTTTGTTTGGGACATATTCTGCCGTTTTCTATTCAGTTCATTTTTTTAGTTTCTCTTCCTCATATGTTTTTTATGTCATAATCTACTACATCAGATTGTACTATGTTGTATTGTTTTATTTTATATTGTATCATATGTATCGTACCATATCATGCCATCTGACATACTACCTTACTATACTGTGCCATTATCACAAAATATAATCATTTCAATTTGGATTTGTCTTAATATGATTTAGCACAACATAGTATAACATAAAAAATGCATCATGTAATATAACGTGCTGCAGTATATTGCGAAGTACAATGAAGCACAACAGAACAGATACGGCAATAACATACGAACAAATATCATACACTGTAATATAGCATTATATAGTGCAATAACACTTACTAACCAATAATATAGTGTCACATGTAATACAGTTTGGCATATTCTAACACAGTATAGCGCAACGGAATAAGATATAATGTAGTACAGCATCATACAATATCATACATTATAACACGATACAAGAGCATACCAGATAAACTAGACAGCACATGACAGCACAATACACTCAAATTCAATATCTTGTGTGCATATGTATGTATGTGTATGTATGTATATATATATATATGTATATACATATATATATATGTTTATTTATTCATTTGTTTATACTTGTATATACGCATGCATAGTTTATTTTCTGTTCTATTGGGTTGTTTATGTTTTGGTCATGGCATGCAGAGAAACAAACAAACACACATACATACACACGAACATACGCATACTACGTACATACATATATACTGTGTATAGACATGCATACATATGTACGTAGTTTTGTACGTATATGAAGCCATCTATAGCGTTGGTTCCGTCCTTCTTTCGTCCCAGTGGTGACGCGACAGAACACGAACAGGTCGCAAGCGCGCCGCAGCTCACTTTGATGCTCGGATCATCTTGGAGACATGCCGACACTCAATGCCTGTTTAGGGTTTAGGGTTTTCTTGCGTTTCCCACCAGGAACCCACGGCAGAGAGGCCATCGCCGAAATTGGCGGCAAAGACAAGTCTCCAAGCTTATGGGATCTACCGTGATTCGACGCTTGCCATGCAAAGCAGAGACAGGGTTAAGGGTTCTATAGGGCTTAGGATGTTGAAGCATGTGCGACTCTGATCTTCGCGTGCGGGCTGTGTCTCATTTCTCCTGTCCCCACTTGGCGAAAGAAGATCCGAAACCCCAAAACCCCTACGCCCACTATCCCGAAACCGCCAGGAGCACTTCCAACCCCGCGCCCGCAACTTCAGAACCCACCCTTCTCAAGTCTTCTCAGTCTAGGACATTTTCAGGTGGGTAGTTACGGCTATAGGAGCCTTATAGAAGGTCTATATACCTTATAGAAGCGCTATATACCCTAAACTCCCCACCTGTAGTTTCCTTTAACTCAGGTCTTATCCCGAGCCGGCACTTGATTCAAAGACCCGGCGTCGGAGCGAGAAAAGGGCCGCTGAAAGTCACCTTAGGGACGAAATGACCCTTAAACTTTAGGGTTTAGGGTTTAGGGTTTAGGGTTTAGGGTTTAGGGACCCTTAAACGTAGGGGCCCTACACCCTTATTATTCTGTATGGTATATGAACCCTAAACCGTTGTAGGGAAGTCGATCTTCCCCACAAAGCCCCTACAAAGCCTTATGGAAACCCTTAATGCAGGGGCCTAAATAATTACAGATACTATTTTGGGGGTTCCTTGGTATAACTATAGTGTAATGGGCCCCAGAATCCTATTCGAATTATTACGCTGGCCCCTACACTACGGTACCATCCCATGTATTCAAGAACAGGCGCTTCTGCATGTTTACCCCCTCACAAAGTGGAAGCCCAAGACCGGGCCAGCGCCAAGCCAGATGCTCTCGGGTAGCTGCAAGGATTGGGGTTTAGGGTTTAGGGGGTTTTAGGGTTTAGGGTTTAGGGTTTAGGGTTTAGGGTTTAGGGTTTAGGGTTTAGGATGATGATGATGATGATGATTTTGATGGTGATGGTGATGGTGATGGTGATGGTGATGGTGATGGTGATGGTGATGGTGATGGTGATGGTGATGGTGATGGTGATGGTGATGGTGATGGTGTTGGCGATGGTGATGGTGATGGTGATGGTGATGGTAATGATGATGGGGAGGAGGATGATGGGGAGGAGGTGAGCAACAGGGTCGATCATCGTCATTATCAGGATCGTGACTGGCATGGAGAGGACGCTACAGTGTATACAGCTACTAACTCTCTTCGCCACCGCCACTGTCAGCAGCCGCAGCAGCAGCAGCAGCAACAATAACAGCCACGACGAGAGCCGCAACCATACCACAACGACAACAACAGCAGTAATAGAAACCTCAGCAGCAGCAGTCGCAGCGGCGGCGGCGTCAACAACAAGCAAACAAACAACCAAGCAAAAAGGCAAGCAAGCAATCAGTCACACAAACACACAAACGCACAACCACACAAACAAACAAACAAACAAACAAACAAACAAACAAACAAACAAACAAACAAACAAACAAACAAACAAACAAACAAACAAACAAGCAAGCAAGCAAGCAAGCAAGCAAACAAACAGACAACCAAACAAGCAAGCAAGCAAATAAGCAAAACCGGAGCAACATCACGGGAAGCACAAAAACAACGACAGCAGCGGCTGCAGCAGCAGCCAGCCGCGGCAGCGACAGCGGCAGCTACAGCGGAAACGACAATCACCAATGCGGGTTTAGAGTTCGCGCGTATGGATTCAGGATTTATGGCTTAGGGTTCAGTGTTTCTCCCTAGAGCTGCTAGATTACTGCTAGACTGCTTCGGAACGGATGATGGCGGGATGCGCCCGAGGGTTTGACCAAAGAACCACAACGCGCAGGCCTGGAGAAGCGGCAGAAGCTTCCGCAAGCTGCGAGATGCACAGCAGAAGAAAGAGATGCAGGATTTCATCAGCCAGCGGCAGGAAAGTGCTCTACTTGCCCAGCTCTGTTTGTTTCTGTACCATTGCTCCAAGTGTGGAGCCTTAAACCCCAATCCTTATGCCCTAAACCCTAAACCCCAAACCCGGAAACAGTTGCACCTATGTGTCCCTGGCGTGGAAGTAGAGATCACAGGGCAGGCAGCCAATGGTTTTCCCTGCTATTCTTGACTCCTGGGTCTAGGGTTTAGGGTTTTGGGCTAAGTACCCCTAAACCCTAAACCTTACAGTTTAGGGTTTAGGGCTACAGCGTCGAGTCCACAAAACCCATCTCTCTCCAGGTCCCCCAAACCCCCAGGTACCTACTATATAGTGTACTGGAGCCCCTAGGGCCCTGTATAGTAGGTACCTGGCGGGTTAGGGGTCTCTCCGTCGACTCGAAACCCTAAACCCTAAACCGAAAGTACTTGCGTAGTCGCAAGCTGGAGCCTTGTAGGTCCCTTTGGCGCAAAATACCTAAATCCTAAACCCTATTTAAAGGAAACTAGAGGTGGGGAGTTTAGGTCTTTAGGGCTTCTATAAGGTTTCCATAAGGTATACAGGGCTCCTATGACGGTAATTACCCACCTGAAAATGTCCCAAGGGGCCTTCTACACCCTAAGCGCCATAGGCCCTAAACCCTAGAAGCCCGTACTCAAGCGGCCCTATCAACCCTAAACCCTAAACCCTAAACCCTAAACCCTAAGCCCTAAACCCTAAGCCTTGAGGCTTTCATGGACATGAACCTCCAGGCTCTGCGAGGGAGTCCTCAACCCTCAACCTCTTTAACGCCAGGGGCCCTAAAAACCCCAAAACCCCAAAACTCAGACCTTCCAAAATCCCTTGATTAAGGAAATATACCTTAAGCTAGAATAGGGCTTAGGGTTTAGGGTTTAGGGTTTAGGGTTTAGGGTTTTATATGCTTTTCGGTCTATTCCTTCCTTAAGGGACTTTGGAAGGTCTGGGGCCCCTACAAAACGACAAAACATCCCGTCTTCCTGGCTCAAGGACCTTACACCCTAAACCCTAAACCCTAAACCCTAAACCCTAAACCCTAAACCCTAAACCCTAAACCCTAAACCCTAAACCCTAAACCCTAAACCCTAAACCCTAAACCGTCCCGTCTTCCTGGCTCAAAAGGGGGTCGCCCCCTTAAAAGGGCCCCCCACCAAGGCCGCCTCGCCTCGCAACGTAGGGCGCGCCCCCATGGCGCTCCGAAGAGGGCCCCTCCTCTGGGCCCTCCTCTCCCTGGCATCAGGAGGGTTTAGGGTTTAGGGTTGAGGGTTTAGGGTTTAGGGTTTAGGGTTTAGGGTTTAGGGTTTAGGGTTGAGGGTTTAGGGTTTAGGGGATTCGGGTTTCGGGTTCGGGGTCTAGGGGTTACAGTCCCATGATCCTTTAAGTAGGGTTTAGGGTTTAGGGTTGAGGGTTTAGGGTTTAGGGGATTCGGGTTTCGGGCTCGGGGTCTAGGGTTTACAGTCCCATGATCCTTTAAGTAGGGTTTAGGGTTTAGGGTTTAGGGTTTAGGGGATTCGGGTTTCGTGTTCGGGGTTTAGGGTTTATAGGGCGAAATAATCATTAAACTTCTCCCTGGCATCAGGAGGGTTTAGGGTGGCGGGTTTGGGGGATTAGGGCTTTGGGTTTGGGTTTAGAGGGTTTGGGGTGGCGGGTTTAGGGTTTAGGGGATTAGGGTTTCGGGCTTGGGGTTTAGGCTTTAGAGGGTTTAGGAGCCCCTGAATACTAAACCCCCAGTTTTAGGAGGACGAGGGGGCTGAGGAAGAAGATATGCTTTACCTTCCTTGGCCCTGCATCTACGCTCTATCAGACCAGTATTTTATACCTCTACTTGAGGGTACAAGGAGGATCCTGGATAGTTTCTACCGCAAAAGCTGTCGCTCTGCTTTTGCTTGGCAGGAATCCACCAAGCATCGCCTTCGGAACTGCGATTGAGGCCAAATTGATGAGTGCATCTTAAACTCGAAACCCCTAATTAAACCCTAAACCCCGAAACCCTAAACCCTAAAGCCCTACATCGCGAGGACAAAAGTTTTGATTCACTGGGCCGTTCATCTACTCAGACCTGTTACGGAGTAGCCGAGTGGGCAAAAGGTCAAATTACGTGGCCTTGCCAGCGGAGTATTTTATACC